CCAAGCTTAAAACATGCTCAAAGGCTACCGGAATTTCCCCCATTTTTCTACCAAAATTCGGACATCACACGGCAGCAAACTAATCAAGCTAATTCTACCTTAATCAAGCTTAAAAACAATGGTTTGAGGCTGCCACATACCAGAATTTACAAGCAAGGAACCAGAGCTAGCAGATTGGGGAAGGCCGGCGGGATCTGCAGGGGGAAGCTCACGGAACTACCCAAAATTGGAGGAACAAGAGCAATTAAGGCAAACCCAAGGCAATTAAAGCTAGAGAAGGGGAATTTCGAGCTATTTCTTACCAAAAAACAAGCCAATTCGCCCCCACAAGGCAAGAGCAGCCGGCGGTGAAGAAGCAGAGCAAGGCAGATCCGGCTTTTCCAGTAGGGGAGGGAAGATTTCTGGGTTCTAGGTGTGTTCTAGAGCAAGAAAGGAAGGAGAAAACCAAGCTTATCTCACTAGTTTTCCAAGGCATGGCTGGGTTCCTCTTTCTTTTTCTTCGGGTGGCTGCAGCGGGAAGAAGAAGAGCAGAATCGGGAATGGCTGGGAAGAAAAGAAAGAAGGAAAAAGAAAAAGAAAAGAAGTCATCCTTATCCAAAATCTTTCCCTCTTTAAGTCCCTCAACTTTTGAAATATTCACATTAGGCCCCAAAACAATCTTTTCTCACAATCAAGTCCCTAACTTACACTTAAATATTCCCGAAAATTTGGGATATTACATGGTGAAAGGTTCTTTTAGATTTCAAAAGTTTTAACTAGGGATGTCAACTGAGTCCCACGGGGCTGAGGAGTGCCTCCCCATCCCTACCACTAGCAAGGACGGGGATCCCCGTAGGGATTTTTGACGTGAGCAAATTTTGCCCCCCCATCCCCATTTCCCACCAATTAATATCAAAATATATATAACATTTCCCCATTCCCAGTAGCAGATCCTGATAGCAGCTCCAGGCTCTCCAAGCTCCAACAACAGATCCCGACAATAGTTTCAGGCTCCAGTAGCATATCTCGACAGTAGCTCCAGGCAGTAGGCTCTAGCAGTAAATCCTGACAGTAGCTCCAGGCTCCAACAGCAGATCTGTAGCAGCAAAAGCCAAAAGGGAAAGGGAAAGTCGAAGGTGAGGCCGTGAGAGTGAGTGAGGAGAAACTGCATAAGCAAGAAGGGGAGGGGAAGGTCGAAGTTGAGGTGAGATTGTGAGAGTTTGACTGTTCGAAAGTGAGTGAGGACTGTGAGGCGTGCGTGCTGCGTGAGTGAGAAAGGGAAATAAAGAAGGTTAGGAAATTAGGGTTGGAAGGAGGATGATGGGTTGGGTTGGGTTGGACAAAGTTTAATTTTTATTGAATTGGGTTTGAGTTTGGGTTTGGGTTTGATTTTGAAGATAAAATTAAATTTAAAATAAAATTAATTTATATACATTTTTTTAATTTTCGTGACAATGGGATCCTTGAAGGGCCTCGCAAGCGAGGAAAATTTCTCGTGAAATTTTATAAAGAGAAAATTCCCCCCATCAGCGGGGAAGAATATTCCTTCTCACCTTGCTCCCCTGACGAGGATCCTCATAGGTAGGGGTGTTCATATCCGACCCAATCCGATTGATTCGACCTAAACTGATCCAATCCAATCAAAAATTGATCCAAACCGATATAAAATTGGATTGGTTTGAATTTTAAAATTATAAAACCAATATAATTGGTTTGGTTCGTGGTTTTACTTTCAAATCGCCCGAACTGCCTGATTACAAAATAAAATCCGTTTAGAAGGTAATTTAATTAAATAATATAACATATTTTTTGTAATATTTTAAATTTTCTTTTTCTTATTTTACAAGATTATAACTCCATTAACTTAATTAAAAAAATAAAAATAGAACATCTTCATATTCTCTAAGTTATTTTTCCATTTTAATTATACACTATAACCTTAATTTTAAATTTTCAATTCACCTATAACTCTATCATTTCAGAATTGGTTTGCGCCTTTACTTTTAAAGTCCTAAATTTCTAATTTATTTTTAAAATAATCTTATGATTCTCCTAACTAAATTTTAAATAAGAATCATTTTAAAAGCCTTAAAACTATATAATAAAATTAGTCTTAATATTTTACTATTTTTGGATATTTGGTTTAGTCTTTTTAAATTTTGATTATAAATAATTCTAATCAATTTTAGTAATATTCATGTTAAATGTTATTTACTTTTAACAGGATTTAGAAAATGAGATTAAATTATTAGTGTATTAAGAAGAAAAACTAATTTTAATTTTCAAGAATTATTTACGTTATACTAGAAATTTGAAGTTATTTTTTATTGTTTTTGGTGCCT